CTCAGCCCTCTGATTTCCAATTCCGAGCAGTTATCCATTACACTAACCACACATCCAAGCTTACAGCATTGCGTATCCCCATATATTACTGACCAGGTTGCACATTGCTTAACTTCGGTGATCATACTAGAATCGGTGGTTGAACGTGATATGACCGTAAGCCAGTTTTTGTTTTAATTGCAAGTTGAGGTATTTAAAAATAAAATTAACTGATCGTGACGTTTTATCAGAGAAAATTGTTACCATATCCTTGTTAAAAAAAAAAATAAGACCACACCAAAAAAAAAAAAAAACCACCAAAAAACCCCCGAAAAATTCAAGGAATTTATATTTAGTCTATATTTTAAGTTTGCCTTCGATGGCTCATGTTAAAATTTGCAGTTCATATGTCCATTTTCTTTGGCTACTGAAAGACGGCATCCGTGTCATTTTTTCTGATTTAGCATCACATAATATGTAGTCGTTAAAAGCAGACTGATTATATAATGTTCCAATGCAAAAAGTAAATAAATAATGAGTAAAATTTTAAAAAAAGAAAAGATCTTTATTTATATATTTGTTTAAATGTAGTGAAACGGCTTCTGTTTCTGATTAAATTCCATTCCAGTCGGTCTCGCATCCTCTTTTCAACGTATGTACGCAGAATAAGAGGAAGTCAATCCACGTGCAAACGACAGGAATATGAGGGAACGGATTATTACCAGCAAACTGCACATGCATTGTCTTACTTTTTTTTTCTAGTTTTTATTTTCAAGCGAAATTTCAAAACACCTGTTGATGGGAGCAATAATAAAAATAACATTCTTTTTTTTTTAAAATTACATTTAAATTTGCAAATAAAAATATTTATATACTATATATATATTGTTATGAATAATCAAGAGTGGTCTCCCCTTGTTTTGTTACTCTCCACTTTGAGAGAGCTATTTCTGTTACTGGAGCTATAAAAGGACACTATACGCGAACCTTGTATTCTCAGTTGTATAAAGTTTTCTTGAAGCCTTCATCTACGGACATTCGTCATTACATATATATATATATATATATATATATATAATTTTCTATGGTGATTGATTTTTATTTGCCAATCCGACAGATTATTGTCACTTTAAACATTATTTTTAGTGGATACTCATATTTGAGTAGACGCTCCATTTATTTACTAAATAATATATTTATGTGTTTTAGTCTACCGGCCAGAATATTCAAGAAATCTTATTAAAGAGAGCAATTTTTTTCTTCACTGAGAATTTTCGAATATTCAGTCCGAAATATCCAGTTCAAATAAATTAATATAATTTTTAATAAGTAATATAATATATACTCAAATATGAGTATCGACTAATATATATATATATATATATATATATATATATATATATATATATATATGTGTGTGTGTGTGTGTGTGTATTTGGGCAGCAATCAGTCTTTTATTCAAGTTTCATTAAAAATGACTTACAAGGTACTGACATATAATAATGATGAAAATATCCTCCTTAAAATATCCCTACTAATTATCAAATAATATGATGTATATTACAGCAGATTTTCATGCTGTAATACAACACATTCATCAGGCGGATAAGATTTAACATTTTTATTTTATCAGCTTGACGACTATTGATTATCATCTCAATATAATTGCATTAATAATAATTTATAATTTAATAGAATAAAAACTTCCCCTTCACTTATATATTCATTCTAACTTCGACGGCTTTTTCCTTCGAAATCCGCAGAATATTGGCCGTTATCTATATATCTTAATTAAATGTTAATTATTCATTAATAATTAATTCCTTAATAATTATATATACATTTGTGCTTTACTAACAGCAGTTTCAGCAGCAGATAGATTAGTTTTATGGCTCAAAGTTCTACACGCAGGATTGTCCCACAGGACAGTAACCTAATGGAATATAGCGTTGGTTAGTGAATTTGGTGACATAGTAGTTGTGACTTTAATACATGGTGCAATTAGTGTATACTTAGGCTCAGTGGAAACAGAGCGAACAATTGAGCATTACTATATAAAATTTACACGATTTATCCATAATGGTCAACAGAACAAGAAAAATGTACCCCTGTAAATTAAATAAAGTGTTCTGTTTGAAGTCCTTTGAAGTTTACTTGGCCCGGCATGCACATGATGAACGCTAGGGAGTACAACGGACAAAACGCTGTGATGACAATAACAACAAAGATGTTCGTGTTCAAATAATCATATATATATATATATATATATATATATATATATATATATATATATTATTTTTAATATGACAAACAAGGTAAATTTTGTAAGTTTTCAGCAATAGACCCGTTCTAAATTGTGACACATTGTTGTGTTTGGAAACTAAACAAAAAATACACTGAGACTGAATTACTCTCACACAAAACAGTAGAGAAAACAAATTCAATAAAATACACCAAAAACTGCACTTCCCCACCACACGGAAATGGTAGAAGATAATAATAAATAAATAATCACTATAGACAATTTCTAAACACACTCAGCCCTTACAAAAAGAAAGGACTGGTTCCCATATATATATATATATATATATATATATATATATATATATATATATATATACACACACACACACACACACACACACACACACACACACACACATATATATATATATATATATATATATATATATATATATATATATATATATATATAAAATGTCGACAAAGTCCGACAATTATTTTAAGACATTTTTATGTTTATACGTTCTTTTTATAGATACAAATATTTAAGTAAATTCTCTGTTTATAATAAACAGTTTTAACGACATTTACCGAAGGTCACATATTTTCTATGACATTCAGGCCGGTAAATGTTAACACCGTATAAACTAAGAAAATGTCTTAATATATATATATATATATATATATATATATATATATAAAGAAATATACCCTTAAGGTGTGCTATATTTATGGGATAAAGTGCTCAATAGCAGTGTGTAAATATAAAAGTGAACCTTTAAGTCAACACTTAGAGGCGACAGGCTGTTTCATGCTAGATGCAATTGTCAGGCCATATATATATATATATATATATATATATATATATATATATATATATATATATGCGTGTGTGTGTGTGTGTGTGTGTATAAGTTGTTACATACGAACGTATACCTAATCACTACAAATATGCATATTTGTTTCTTTGCATAAATTTATAAACATCTCATCAGGTGGTGAACAAATATTCCTTTCGTTCTCATTACATTTATATATATATATATATATATATAGATAGATAGATAGATAGATACACCTAGTGAGCCAGACAAACCTACCTAGGTTTCACCTAAACGGATCGTCAGAGAAAGTTTGGCTCTTAAGTAAGTAGTTGGCTACAGGAGTCTCTTTCATATTTATTCCAACTACTTATATTTATATATATATATCGCAGTCTGTTTCATGCCTATATGCAATCGTCAGGCTTGATTGCGTATAAGCATGAAACAAACTGTTGACGCTGGGTGTTGACTTCAATGTCCACTTTACATACACTCTGTCCCTGACATTGAGCACTTTAATCCATGAATATAGCATAGCTTAAAACAATATTGTATTATATATATGTGTATGCGTGTGCGCGCGCGTGTGTGTGTATACGAGTGTGTGTGTAACGAGAGAGAGCATGAGAGATGACAAAGAAGAAAGAACCATATTTATTCCAACTACTTACTTAAGAGCCAATATCTTCATTTTATGAGTAAAAGCAATCAAAAGAAGAGCTTAAGTATTGAACATAACAGGGTATTGGACTCAGATCCAAGTTCTTTTCATGACTCAACTGAAGCTTACGCGAATGTAATTAACGATTCTTAGGAAAATCAAATTAAGTACATGGATGCCCACAGTGACATCAACAATGTTTATTGTGTATATAGTGGTTTAAATGAGAAGCTTTTTGATTAGAAAGTACACTTATTACACCTGTTTTCTTAATATAGGAATAGCTTTGGCGTTATTTGTTAAATAAATAACTTCATATCTGTTCTACCACAACATTTTTAACATAGATCTAAATGCTCGAAGAGCTTTTTCCCAACATTTCCATATATAATGACCTGTATTTTTCATAATTTAGATTCGGACGTTTTTTTAAAGTTTATAGTGGCGTTCCTCCTTAGCAGTAGTAACAGTAGTAGTAATATTCATGGTAGGAGAAGCAGCGGTACTTATATCAATAGTACATGTTAGCGGATGCTTCGTTCCAATCTCTGACGTCACTTTCTCTCCTGGAGTCTCCAACTCGACTCTCCACTGTCTCTAGACCAACTCTTGCCCGGGCTAATTCTCTTTCTCTCTCTCTGTCTGCCTCTTCCATCTCTCTCTTCCGTCTCTCCACTCGCCCGTCTTCTTCAGCATAACTACGCGTTTATATAGAAAAATCCATCTGGTTACAACTGAACCTTGGCCCTACTACTTCGCACGCTATTATCACGGGGCTGTTTCAACCAAAATCATGTGAATTCCAAAGTTCCTTCTAGCTTACTCAGCTCTATTTCAAATTTTAATCGATAAAAATTATTTCGGCCATTTCCATTGTCTACTGATGACCCAGATTCAATGGGTACAACTTCTGCCCTAGATCAGATTTCCCTATCAGTAAACAAAATGCTCTCATTTAATTTCGCTATCCAAATCTTCTCCAATTTCACTAAAAAAAAATATACGTATGTGTGTGTGTGTGAGTTTCCCAGACTCTCTCTGCCACAGTAGCAACAGTAACAAAATCCTCGCAAAACACGGATGAGGCGAAGAAATTCGAACTTAACTGATCCACATCAAAGAAGTGTTCGTAAAAGCAGTCAAGCGGCAATCTATGGCATTTCTTTCGAAAAAAAAAACTGCCTGAATGAAAGAAAAAGTAAAAAACAGAAAAAACAAAAAATAGTTTTTGTAATGCATAAACTACAAGGATATCCCAAATAAGAGAAGAATAACTAGAAGTAATGATAATATTAGAATTTGTCTTTGGTAGCAACATGATGATGTCTATAAGGAAATCTGTGTTGACGGTCATCATCAGGCGGGTCAAGAGGTTGTGAGGGACGATAAGTGGGCACACGGCGACAACGATAGTGATGTCGGCGAGAGCGTTGATGGTCAGTCAATGATAACAGAGACGAG